TGCCTTGTTATCTTCATGCATCTATATACTTGGTAAAGGGTGGAAGGCTCGGCCTCTCGCCTAGTGTTTTGTTCCATTCTTGCCGCCCTAGTTTCCGTCATATCGGTGTTATGTTCCCGGATTTTGCGTTCCTTACGCGGTTGGGTTATAATGGGAACCCCTTGATAGTTCGCCTTGATTAAACCTTTTCCAGCAATGCCCAACCATTGTTTTACCATTCGCCACCTAGCCTCTTTTTCCCTTGGGTTACCGGAGCCCAAGGGTCATCTTATTTTAACCCCCCCCCCCGGGCCAGTGCTCCCTCTGAGTGTTGGTCCGAACCGGGCAGCCTGCGGGGCCACCTCGAGAAAACTTGAGGGTTGGTTTTACTCGTAGCTTGACCTATCTGAGTGTGCCCTGAGAACGAGATATGTGCAGCTCCTATCGGGATTTGTCGGCACATTCGGGCGGTGTTGCTGGTCTTGTTTTAACCTGTCGAAGTGTCTTGAATTATCGAGATACCGAGTTTGATCGGAACGTCTTGGAAGGAGGTATATTCCTTCGTTGACCGTGAGAGCTTGTCATGGGCTAAGTTGGGACTTCCCTGCAGGGATTGAACTTTCGAAAGTCGTGCCCGCGGTTATGGGCAGATGGGAATTTGTTAATGTGCGGTTGTAGATAACTTGAACCTTAATTCAATTAAAATGAATCAACTGAGTGTGTTACCGTGATGACCTCTTCTTGGCGGAGTCCGGGAAGTGGACACGGTGTTGGATTAATGTTTGCGCAGGTTGCTCTAGTTTCTCGCTCGTGCTTTGCCTCCTCTTCTCGCTCTCTTTTGCGAAGGAGTTAGCCACCATACTTGCTAGTCGCTTGCTGCAGCTCCACTCATATTTTACCTTGCCTTACCTATAAGCTCAAATAGTCTTGATCGCGAGGGTGCGAGATTGCTGAGTCCCTGTGGCTCATAGATTACTATTACACTAGATGCAGGGCCTGATGATTCTGCTCCAGAATACGCGTATGAGCTCAAGTGGGAGTTCGACGAAGACTCTCAGCGATACTATGTTTCCTTTCCTGATGATTAGTAGTGGTGCCCAGTTGGGGGTGATTAGGACCGTGTCGCATGTTGGGTTCTCTTTTATTTTGGCGCCGTAGTCGGGCCATGAGTGTTTGGATGATGTAATGTTATTTATGTACTTGATTGACGTGGCGAGTGTAAGCCAACTATGCTATCTTCCCTTTTATTATCATATTACATGGGATGTTGTGAAGATTGCCTAACTTGCGACATACGCCTTCAATGCGATTATGTCTCTAAGTCGTGCCTCGACACGTGGGAGCTATAGTCGCATCGAGGGTGTTACATGATGACAAACAAATACTGTCAATACCAGCTAAGGTACCACAAACTATGTGTTGTAAAGGAAGCCTGACCTATATATTAGTCCCACCTCGGTCCCTTACACGCAATCCTCTCAACTTAAATGCGTCTTTAAATTTTCAGGATATCAAGGAGCCTTCTCAGGAATCAAAAAGGAACGAAATAATTTGTCATGTTAAGATAAATAAGGAATGAAAGAGAATATAAAGAAGGAAAGGAGAATAAGCCGATCCATTCCTCCACATGATTGGAAAGAGAATAAGAAGATGAATCTTGCTCGTGAAATTAAGAAAGGAAGCAAAATTGAATCCTATCCATGATGGTCCTTAAAGGAAGTAAGCATAATTGATATTAATGAAAGGAAGGAAAGAGTCAAAGAGGCAGTCGGAATCGAATCTATTTAAGCCCCTCGCAACAGCCGCGACCACCGGCCATCGCCCCCGATATCGATGATGCCATGCGACCACTCCGACAGCGAGTGTCGCTGATGCCACTGCACTTAATGCGCGACCATGGTGCGTCACATACTTGCCGAGTATTGATTACTTCCAAGCCAATGCATGTAATCGAGAAACAGTACTATGTGATGACGCACGCATACAAAGCAAGTAGGGTCGACTCTTTCCTAGGTAAAAACACATGTACGCAGGAGCAGCAGCAAAAAATACAAGTTGCCGGCTAGTTTGGTTGATCTGTGTTAGCATAATGATGAATACACACGCACGCTACTTACGTATTATGTTTACACAGCTGCATCGATCCGGCGGAGAGTAGATGGCTCGATTTATTGCTACTGAGAACTCGCATGTAAGCCAACGGGACAAGTACATGCACCCTGTGAAATCAGTTTTCCATAGCTAAATTGATTGCACTGGAAGTTACTATTCTACAAGGAGTAGGAAAGAGGTTTTTTTATGGTATGAAAGAGGAATTTCGTATTCCTACTATTCTGAATTTTTAGCTGTTGATTTATTTCTATCCGACTTTATATGTGTTTTTGCATAACTCGGGGAGTGCTAGAGAGATATTTTGCAAGAATTGGGATCCTCAACGCAATGCATACCCTAAAAGCATTCATGTTACCTTTTCTGTTCATCTCCAAGGTCAAAATCTTTTATTTTCATACTACTTTCGGTGTAGAAGAAAACCGACACTCACTTAAACTAATTTGCATATCAAGCTAGGTATGCGAAGGAGGAACTCAACAACTACATATGCAAGATCAATGTGAGCTCTTCTATAATATTAATTGTTGAATAGTTATGCAGAGGTGTAGCATTTTTGCAAAGATGGTTATGCTGAAAGTACATAATTCTTATTCATGGCCGGAATAATTGAAGTGCATCATAAATGAAAGAGTAAATGCTTGTGACACAAAACATCACAAAAGCGTACATTTAGGTTTTTGCTTATGTTTTAGGCCAAGTTTTGGCTTAAATCATTAAATGCTTACTGGGATAGGAGAGTAAAGTGTTTTTGTTTCTTCCACAGCAATTGATGGGCATATTTCGGTGGTACCTTTCGAATGTTATTATGAGAGTTGGCGGTCAATAAACACAACAAAGTCTACCCTATTGGGAAATATGCCCGTGCGTTGCAACGGGAGAAAAAAAATACCACATCTCTAAGAATGATTCAAGACCCTTCACTCAGGTCCCCGTTCTCTATTTTAACATAGCATCAACAATGTCGTCACTTATCCTCCCTCCCATCCTTCCCTTGCTTACGTGTGGTCTATAACTGCAATGCTTTAAGACTAAAGTAACATTGAAAATCCTATTATCCACAATATTCTCACGATATGCAAAAGTAATATTTGATTGTAATATTCATAATTTATTATCCATAATATTCTCACAATATCTAGGAGTTCAAAACATAAGAGCCAGTAGGTACCAAATATGAATATTTCTTAAAAACACGGGGGAAATTCCACTCAAACAACTTTTCAAGTAACAAAAAAAAGCAGGGCAGCATTATTCAAACTATTTTGGTTGAAAATATAGTAAACATGTCCGTGCGTTGCAACATGAAAAGAAAAATACCACATGTCTTTAATCCAATAACGACACCACATCTGTATTAATCTACACAGTGCTGGCATGGTTGAACGCAAAGCCTGGACGGATTTAAAACAGCCTTCGACTGACATCACGTGAGCAGCCGCACCATGCGCAGGCCAACCCTGTCGACGTATTTCCCTTGCGAGATCTACATCAATTTCTTTGGCTCACTTTTTGTGTGACTCCTCCCTGCTTATAGCCATTGATCGATAAAGGCGAACTCCGGGAGTTGTTTGTCCGGTGATGTTGGTGATGATTACGACTACCGACGGAAGTGGAGGAATTTTGCCTTAACTTTTGAGCTTGGAGGAGCCAAACCAATTTATAACAAAAGCCTGATAAATCACTTTACAAACCAATAAATCTGCCATTGATTAACACAGTCGATATGGCATAATTTTAGTTACCCAATGGCTCCACCTGCCAATAGGAATTGAGCCCCCATTAAAATAAAGGAAGGACATGCATTGTGCTGACTCACTCCAATTAAACGGCTGCTTGGTTGGTTTGTGTGTAACCCCGCGAAAGAGAATCAAGTCGTTGTGTGCCCTGCTAGCGCATTTTACTGAGTATCTTTTCGGTGTTGTTTTTTCATACTGTCCATCTTTTTATTTCTCAGCGATTTTGCTACGTCAAATAGGAATTTGCTGCATATTTACCAAAAATATATCTGATTGATCTACATGCAGTTTTGATCAAGAATCGACACACGACATTGCAAGCCCAGTTAATGTTGCTACAAGAAGTACGCAATGCTCCAAAGCTGGACCACCGTTGTTGCTGTAAGGCGGACCGCATGCTGCAAAGCTCGACCACCATTGTTGTGGAGTCGGATGCCATTATTTCAACAACCTTCTTCTTTGGAGTCAATCACAACTTACGCCTAGCGACAATTATGTCGTGGGTACAACTACATACAATTTAGTTTCAACAATAGAAGTTTTGGTGGATATGTTAATTTTTCTTCCGTTGCAACGCACGGGCATATGTGTTAGTAATAATAATAATAATAATAATAATAATAATCTTTAATAATAAAGCATGGATTGACTTTGTCGGATTCACCATCATAATAAGCTTTTTTCTCATGTCATAATACACTTTTATAATTTGTATGAACAAAATTGTAATATAAATAAGGTGGTACTAATAGCATGTTCATCTGTGGCCAGGCCCAGCCAAATCCCCCTAGCCGCCGCCGCACCACTCCCCCACCGCGGCCGACCTCAACTCGCCCGTCGCCATGGCTGCACCTCTGCCCGCTCACGAGCCTCCACTCCGCGCTCAGCTCTACGACACCCGCGACGCAGCGCGCGCCGCCCTCCGCTGCCAAATCGGCGGCCACTGGGCCACGCTCTGCGCCGGCTACGCCGACCGCCGCGCGCCGCCGCCATCCGGCGGTGGAGCCTCTCTCATGGAGGATTACACCGGCTGCCCCGCGCTAGCCGAGATCATCCGCATCCTCTCCGTGAAGCGCCATCGTCGCGGGAGGACTTCATTGCCTGGCTCGCCGACAACTTCATGACGAGGCCCGCGTCCGCGTCTTCCCGTGCGACCTCCTCGATGGCGCCGCCATGCTCGCCGCCGCGCGCGGCTGCTACGATATCTTCCACCTCGCCTTGCCCTGCACCGTCGACCGCGTCCTGGACCCCCAAGTACTGCTGCTCCATGACCGTCCTGCCGTTGTTCCTTTAGAGTTTAGACCTCTCAGTATGAGTACGGGGTGGCCTCTGTCTCATTTTGTGGCTGCAGAAGGAGCGGGTAGCGCCGGCCGTGGAAGGGACGCTCCACGTGCTGCGCGCCGCCAAGGATGTCGGGGCGTGGGCGGGGTGGTGGTGACCTCGGCCATCTCCGCCGTCGTGCCTAGCCCGGGCCGGCCGGCCGGGGAGGTCCTCGATGAGAGCTGCTGGACCAACATCGACTACTACTGCGACAAGAACAGGGTGAGATGATACAACCACCTTGCCTAGCCCGGGCCGGCCGGCCGGGGAGGTCCTCGATGAGAGCTGCTGGACCAACATCGACTACTACTGCGACAAGAACAGGGTGAGATGATACAACCACCTTGTAAAAAGTGCAGTTACTAAACAAAAGCACTGCAGCTGTTAAGCAAGACAAGAATAGCAACTTACCCACCCCCCCTGGCACCGACCGGCCTCTGCCCCTCCCCGCTGCACAAAATTCGGTTCTTTGTCCCCACTTTGCTGCACAAACTCCGTGCCTCTCCTACGACCATTCTTCGCTCCATGGCCTCCCACGAATATCAACCCTGGCAACTGGAGTATGTTACCTTAATTACTTGCTGTACAACTGCAGTATTTCTAAAACAATTTCCATGGCTAGCAGTCAGGTTGAATTACTAGCTGAGTTTTGCATATATGCAATCACTTTTGCCTGTTTTTGGCCTTTCACCCTTCACTTTTGAAGCAATGAAATGTTCAATCTTGAAGATGATCTTTAGTGTTCATGTTCAGTGTTAATGTTCAAGTGTTATAAACTCAGATTTCAGTGTTAATGTGCAAATGTTCATTAACACTATTTGAAATCTGAGAACTAGAAATGCAGAAATCTGAAAACTGGAATCTCTAGTTAGCTGAATTTTTGAACATTTAATCTTGTCTAACTATTTGTGAGGTTTATTGGTGTTTCCAGTAGATAAAACCTGACCCTATGTATTTATAAATGGAGCAGAACTGTATTTATAAAACTTCAGAGAATATATTGTTGTCTTCCTTATATTCTTTTATTACTAGAGCCACCATACAAAATTCTCTGGAGCAGAACTGTATTTCAATTATAAATGACAGGAACAAAACTTTTATATATTTGTTGTGAGTACAACTTGAGAGAGTTTCAGAGAAATAAAAGAAAGCAATTAAAACTTCAGAGAATATATTGTTGTTTATATAAACTGAATATTATGTACTGTCAATATTCAGAAGCACATAATATATTGTTGTTTAGATAAACAAAGCTGCTTGCTGGTATCTCCACTTTTCAGCTGGGCTTTGCAGTTATCTCAGTTTCTATCTTTTGTTGGCCAGATGATTCCGCCAAGGATCAATGCTAGCATAGCCATGTTTCTTCACTTGAAGGTACATGTATTGCAATAATGTAATCTTGACAGTCGTAGTTTAAGATCTTTTTCATAATTTTGAATTTTCTAGATAGAGAAATTTATACAGTACCACTCTTTAATCATTGCTTAGTCCCTCTAGAATGTTTGCTGGTAGGTTAGCAATAATATCATGAGTAGCACACTGAAGCAGGGGCAATTCATGAACTTGTACAAACTGAACACATTCTTTTCCTGATGAAACCTTCATATAACATCTAAATTAATCAGAAAACGGATGAGCAAATTAGTTTTATCAAGAGAGAACTGGCTGAAATGAAGCTAATACGGATATACTGAATATTCTGCAGTGGTTAGTATACTAGAGAGTTAAACTGCATGTTCTGTCATATCTGAAACCCTTTTCTACTCCATACTTTACCTAAACAATGTCTCTGCATTGGCATAAGAACCATAGATTGAAAAATTATCATCCATTGGCATTTGTCACCATGGCAATGAAATAACCCGCATTTGCTATTCAGAAGACTTTTCTTGTCTAGTTCTTTGTGTGATTTGTTACTATGATAAGGAAACATTTCCTCAATCCATCTTTCTATACACACACAGGTTGCCCAGAGGAGTATAAGGATTTCCTCATCGGGCCAGTCCACGTGGAACAGAACAAGATGAGTATAAGACAAACGCTGTTTGTTGATGTCATCATGCCTGGCTGTTTCGACTGCTCCTCCGCCCACAATTCGGCCAGGCTCACGTGGTGTCACGAGCGGGGAACAAAGGGACGTCTTCCGTTACAGAGAATTTCTAGAGGACTCAGATTTGATACCACAACTTCAATCTTCTGAAGTGGCCAAGGTTGGAACCAAGGAATAAGGCACCAGGTTTTGCAGGTTGTGTTTCGCTGTTTGTTGCAGAGAGCAGCCAATATGAATGATCCACACCGGGCTTCAAAGAGATAGTCCAGTTCATCTACGAGTTCATCCTACCATGCTTTCCTACTTCCAACTTCCAATGTATTTTGTGACTGAGATTGTGCACATAAGCTATTTGTGAGAATGTCAGCAAACGATGATATTAGATTATGCAAAGCTTTCCGGTGGTTGAATGGCTCTCACATGTTCTACTGCTGCAAATTTGTGTCATCAAGGTTACCCCCTTCAAATTTAAATATACTTCTGATTTTGCATTTTATGATGAATAACAGTGTGCCTGCAATTAGTTTGTAATCATCCTTTTCCGTTGCCGAGGGGTGTTCTCCATTGGCGAAACAACTGATGCTTCATTTTCGGATTAAAGATAGGTCAAACTGACTAAAAAATGTAAGGACTCAACATCTTTTCTTTCTCTATTATGAGAGCATACTGCATATGAACGACCAATAATTCCTTTCACGATTCAGGATCCTGTTCTTTTTTACTCTCTGCAGACTTGAAGGTAGAGGATACACAATCTTTACTGCATTTTTATGGGTGTCTCCATTGTTGCACACACTTTGATACCTCCTACTAATGGAATGTATTTCCAAGAAAAATATCTGTACGTACAAAGTACATATCTACAAGTAATTCACTCATTTTTAATGATACTTCACGCGCTGTTTGCTAAGTTCTATTTTTATTTTATCAAGCTTTACTATGCTTTAAATTATACCAATACTATATTTGAAGTGTGTTCAAGTTACCAGCCATGGTATTCATCTTCTTTCTCCTTTTTTTTGGTGGATTTTATTTTGATATGTAGAAACAGCCACCCTACTGTGTACTCAGGAAAGGAACATGCTTTGTTCTTTTATCTACATTGTTTCTATAGCTTATATACTTCAGATTTTCACTATCGTAGTGTCGTCTCCCTTTCTAGAAAGCCATGGAAACTATAATTTTACTCTCGTCGGTTTGTTTTTTTGTACTATGATTCGATGGCCATGGTCGAAAAACATGACGACAAAGTTTACTGCCTGAAAAATGCCCAGGCTCATTGGCGACAGTAAAGTGTGTGTAGCTTATGTTCAGTCAAGAGTCGTACCTTTAACATAATTTGCATTAAGAATTATTATTGTGTGCGATAAATAAGGAAATGCACTACATGATATGTAAAGACATGATTTATGTTGAACCACGTGAAGTGAATGTGATGGTTGTTGCAACACATGAGGAATTAGAAGTCGGTGCAGGGAGGGGCTTGAGTTTGTTTCTCCCGTTGCAATTCACGGGCATTTGTGGTAGTAATAATAAAGCACGGTTTGACTTTGTCGGGTACACCGTCACGGATCTTTTGTGAAAAAGCCCCTGTGGTTTTTGATATTCAGTCTGCACTCCAAATCAAACCGGTACGAGGGGGAAAATAACGCAGCCATGCTCTGCCTCGTAGCGCTCCCCCCGTGCCGCCGGCCGCCTCCTCACTGCGTCGCGCCGCCGCTCCACAAAACTCCCGCCGAACCACACCTCCTATCCCCTGGCTACTGCCTCCCACCTCTAAAGCTCTCGCCATGAGCTATATCTGGCGCCACCACCCCTCATCGCCCTCGGCTGGGCTTCCCTCAATCCCCCACCGCTCCCAAAGCGCCGCCCGCGATGGATCTAAGCTGGCAACCGCCCCAGCATGCCTCCCGGCAGCGGATCCAGGCCGACAACTACTCCCCTCCTCCCCCGCGACTGATTGCCTCCACTACCCTCCCTTCCATCTTAGGGTCTGGAGAGCCCCAGCCGCCACGCTCCCTCTTTCCTCTCCTCTGCGTCAAGATCGACTGTGAGCTCACTGGTGCCTGCTCTCTGCCGACCTTCCCTTCCCAGCCGCCTCACGACATGCAGTACGGGGTGGCGAAGCCGTGCAGTTCATCGTGTCCGTCCCGTCATGTACCTTCTCGGTGTTGGCCCCCGATCCCCATGAGCATACCCTCCCCTATTTTCTCTGTGTCACCGACCATGGCAACCACGAGGCTGGAAGGGGTCTCATGGACCCGAGAGTGCGAGAGGAGTAACAGCGCTGGCGCTGACGCCTAGGAAGACCGTAGTGTGGTGCTCTGCTGTATGGATTCCTCTCCCATGGAGTTCAAAGTTTTTGCATTTTTGTTTCAGTTTCTTTATGTGCAAAAATACAGTTCAGTGCAGTTCTTTCTTCTCTTGGGCTTAGGTTCTCTAGATGATGTTTGCATCTGGGTTGTAAAATGTTGCCCGCATCAAGTGCAATTCAGAACTTACAAGTTCCGTTGTCAGTCTCCTGTGCAGTTCATTACAGTAGAATTTTCATGTGTTTGATTCAGTTATCTTTGCTCTGTTCTATGTCATGAGGCTGCAGTCCCATGATCTCCTGTTTACCGGCGTCACCCTGGTCTATCTAGGTAGTTGGGTGGGGATTGGGGGTGTCACTGGGCATCCAAATGACGAGTTCCCACCGTGAGCTGGTGTTGTGCTCCTCGCCGCTGGTGGTCGTGCTACAACAACGTGCAGTCACCGGGCTGTGTCATGTGGTTCACCAGGCCGTGGAGTGTGGTTTACCGGCCGACAGCGTGCGGTTTGCCTGGCTGTGTGTGTTCTTCTTTGGCTAGGAACTGGTTCACCAGATCACTCCTTCAACAAGAGCTAGCTATATGTTCATGAGTTTCATGCGTTTATGTTTCGGGCTGCAGAATTAATGAGCACTCACAAAGGACAAGCCATCAAGGTGTTTTTCTGCGCATATGTAGTTCAAGTGGAAGATGGGGCATTGTGCCTTCTCCAACTCCTTCCGATCTGTTGATCAAGTCAAGAGAATAAGAGCAGTGACGATTACCTTTTCTTGCTAAACTTTCCCGTCAATGTCTAATATGTGTGTTTTTCTTCCTAATGGTGTCATGCTTCGATTTGATTTCTTTCATGAGGAAGTGAGTAGCACTGATTATTGCACGTGCTTATACATTTCAAATGGATTGCTAGGTTAAATGGTATAGTGTTCAAAGCTCTTAGTTTTTCTGAACGGTCTAATAATTATTCAGTTTACTAAACTACTGAACTACTTCTTTGGGTTTGAATTTGCTGAATTATCGAACGGTCTAAGAATTATTAAGTTTACTAAACTGCTTCTTTGGGTCTGAATTTTCTGAATTGCTTCTTTGTGTCAAAATTGCTAGGTACCCTGGAATATATGGAAGTGCCGAAACTCCAAGCTCTTCCAGGATGTTTTTGAGGAATTGCACATTACTGCTAGCAAGATTGCTGATGATCTTATGTTGTAGTCCAACATGTATTCAAATGAAATTAACAAAGGCATCCTTAGAGGTTGGAGCACTATGTTGTATCACCTATCTGTAAGATTGTGATTTTTTTCCCTCCTTTTCTTTTCTATTAATCCTACTTTATCATTTTCCTTTGTATAGTTTTCATTTTATGAAGTGTTTTAGGCTGTGTAAGCCTGTTGTAGTCCCTATAATAAAAAGGTGGAAAGTGATGCATCACCCTCTCTTAACTGAATAGGCACTGTGGCGTCGATGAGACGCTTCGACCCATGCTGGCCGTCATTCCCCACCACTGAGGTTTCGTTTCCCTGTCCTTTCCTTCTTCCAATCTTCAGTCCAATTGTATGAACAGAAACATACCTTCTCATATGTTTGTAGATGAAGAAGAAATGGTTGGCTTACCAATCACTTAAGCATCGAGAGCTTCGGCGCCCAACTGTTGAAGAAGGCTCAGACTGATGGAGTTGTCCCAAACAAGGCACAGACCTAACCCCTTTCCGCTGCTGGAGTCCTTGCATGCCTTTAAGGGATGTAATCTTATGTAACACCCACAATGCGGTTATATCTTCCACGTGCCGTGACACGACTTAGAGGCATAGCTGCATGGTAGTTTAGTCATAAGTGGAGTAATTTTCACACAATCCCATGTACTTAAAAAGAAAGGGATAAAGAGTTGGCTTATAATCGTCACTTCACACAAATAACAAGTCAAACATACATCAACCAGAATACAATCAAGTTCCGACTACAGAACCAAAATAAAAGAAGACAACCCCAAATGCTAGATCCCTGATCGTCTCAACTGGGCTCCACTACTGATCAACCACAAAAGACGCAAAACAACGATCAAGATCTTCATCGAGCTCCCACTTGAGCTCGGTTGCATCACCTGCGTTGGTATCATCGGCACTGCAACTGTTTGGAAGTATCTGTGAGTCACGAGGACTCAGCAATCTCACACCCGCGAGATCAAGAGTATTTAAGCTTATGGGTATGGTAAGGTAAGGAGGTGGAGCTGCAACAAGCACTAAGCATATATGGTGGCTAACATACGCAAATAAGAGCGAGAAGAGAAGCAACGCAACGGTCGTGATGCTAGAAGTGATCAAGAAGTGATCCTGAAACTACTTATGTTCAAGCATAACACAAGACCGTGTTCACTTCCCGGACTCCGCCGAAAAGAGACCATCACGGCTACACACGCGGTTGATGCATTTTAATTATGTAAGTGTCAAGTTCTCTACAACCGGATATTAATAAATTCTCATCTGCCACATAACCGCGGGCACGGCTCTCGAAAGTTTAAACCCTGCAGGCGTGTCCCAACTTAGCCCATCACAAGCTCTCACGGTCAACGAAGGATATTCCTTCTCCCGGAAAGACCCGATCAGCCTTGGAATCCCGGTTACAAGACATTTCGACAATGGTAAAACAAGACCAGCAAAGCCGCCCGGATGTGCCG